GTGTGTGTGTGTGTGTGTGTGTGTGTGTGTGTGTGTGTGTGTGTGTGTGTGCGTGTGTGTGTGTTTTTGTGCCTGATGGCTTAAACTTAAATCTCCCTTTACTTTATGATCTTCTATTAGCGTCATATCCCGAATATTGAGAAAAGCAGTAAGATTTATACACTCGATATTTATTGTATTTAACCTATGAAAACTTAATTTCCCCAGAGAACGACGCAACGCAGTAAAACAGCATCAGTATTTGACGTATTCAGCAAAGATCAACGGCCGTCTCTCAGTAAGTATTTGTACAACTGCAGGCTAACTTATAGACTGGGTACATAACATGCTTTCATGTCTATGTTTCATTTATAATAAGAAGCGCTAAAAAGCCAGTTAACGTGATTCTTTGTTATTGAAAAAAAAAAATCAACCTAACAAAACAACAACAAGAAAAAGCTCCTCAACACTCTTATACATTTTTTTAACGCTCAAAGGCTTTTGCGATTATTACAAACCCTTTTTTTTTTCTTTAATTGAGCTGACTTTGTCTATGTCTCGTAAAAAGGCTTGTTGAAGTTTGATTGTTGTAGTTGAATTGTGTTCCTTTAGTACATGTATTGGATTGTAATCGTAGATGTCGTGAGTGCGAATGAACAAGGGTAGGCCTACATACACACAGGCCTTTTTGTGCACACATTACAACAAATGAGTCATACTGCAAACACTTGGCACAGACAGGCTAAAGACAGGAAGACATGTCAAAAGCAGAAATAAGCTCCAGAAGACAGTTTCCTTCTTTGTCCTTTTTCTGAGGTTAAAGAAAGAGGGTGGGAAGAGGTTATTGTGAAAGTGTTGAGATATGATAACAGAATGATTGCTTGCTTATATCCCAATTTCATAGGAATACATGTACAATGTATTTACCACGCATAAATTAAGTGAAAACATGCACGCAAATACACACCCCCCACAAAAAAAATGGAGGAGAGAGAGCCAATTATTGTATAGATTCACTGACCTTAAGAAATTCTTTTTTAATAGATTTCTAGGAGCATACTTCAGCTATACATTTATACAGATGACCAGTTAGGCCCTATATTTAAAAAGATACATTATATTGCTTTATTAACTGTGCATGTAAACCTAACACTTTTTTTGTTTTTTCAGTCAACAGATTATTCACAGCAGTGGTAAAGCGACCGATCAAGTTCTCAAGAAGGAAGAAAAAGAATTTGTCAATTTGGTTATTTTTTCATTTTGATCCCTTTTCTGCACATGTTGTAAACCTATGAGTATGCATCATTATCTTGAAGTACTGAAAAGTTTTTTTGAAATTAGTGAGAGGCACATAAACGCAGAATGTGGACTTTTAGTTTTAGTCTAAATATAATAATCAAAACACCTCACTGACATTACAAATCAATAAAATAAAAGGACATTCGTTATTTGTTCTGCAAACTCAAGATCAAAAGAATTCAAGTAATGCATAAAGAGGCCCTATCAAATCCTTCACCTTCAGAACATAAGCCTCAATGTCTAAAACAATGTTTTTAATATCATTCTGGAGATATCCCATGATACAAACTTCAAGACAAGACAATCAGAGAAACTTCTTTTTGAAGACTCTTATTTGAATTAAAAAGAACTGGTCACATGTGCATCAGGTGACTATATTAAGTCCCATTATGTCTCATATTGGGAGAAAAAGGCATTATAAAAATCTCTAATTCCTGAAAAATACAATGAGTAAACAACCACTAGAGAGAGTTTCGTTGATGCTCTTCTTAAATTTCACCTTTTTAATTTTTTTTTAAAAACAACTTTTTCAATGTCTTGCCCACTTCTTTTTAAAGCTCAAATTGAGTTGTTTTCTTATTATGTGTTACATATGTATTTGAACTATAGATGTGATGAGCTCAAATTCTAAAAAACAAAAAAAATCAGCTTTATGTTTTTAAAGTAACCAATGAGTGAGTCTAATACAATGTTAGAGTATTTAAAAAAATTATATTTAACTCTGGATTTGCAAGTACTCCGCCAAAGTCTTTTACATTGTAAACCAGTAACTCTGTCTTTTCTCTTTTCACCTTTGAAAGATTTACTTCCTGTCCTGAAAAGTCTCAGAATCTGTACCTCTTCCCTAAACCCTTCAAAAGTATAAAAGAAAAAGATAAGCCCACTTGACATCTACCGAATTTTCCATAACAAAAGATGGAGGATATTTAGGCATTCTTCTTTGATGCACTGCATGGACTGACACAATTAGGACACTGTTAGTATGACTGTTATCTTCTATAAAGTACTCAGGTGCTTTCATCTAAATGCTATTGTAATAACCGACTGTTTACTTCCTAACAGATTCATCCCAAACCTTCAGTATAACATCATAAGAAAAAAGTGAAGAGGTTCACTCCCCCCCCCCCCCCCCCGCCCCCAAAAAGACAATAACAATTAAGTTGTGAAAAAAATCCCTGAATCTCACTGAAGCAAGAGCCTTTTTCACTGACAAGTTCTTCTTCATTTGCAACATTCTTTTTTAATCAAATGCTTTTTAAATAATAGATGTTTGAAATAAATCACTGTTAGTATTAGCTCTGGCACACAAAGATATCGCTTTATATGTTTTGAAATCCTATTATAATTTTCTTTGTAACTTTCACAAAATTGGTATTAATCTAAAAGTGCAGCATAATCATTTAGTTTCAATGCTTAATTGAATTTGCATCATGTACCCATAAAACTTATGAAATATCAATTGCGTGTGATCTAGTTTAAGACATAGGTGGAATTTAATTTAATAAGCATAATGAGGAATAACTCATTTTAAAAGCAGAAGAAAGTAACGGGAAAGGCCTATCTCGGCAAATAAGGACATGTGTTATAAAATTGTGGCAATGGGATGTGCTCTTTTAAATTTACCTATTATGTTTTGGTAATTGATGCATTGGTGTTCTGAAATATTGACCTTTTGTATGGTCATTTCCTTCGTGCCTGACCAATCAGGTCAACTACGGAACCAGTATTATTTATATATTTGAGTTTTAATGTTTAACACTATAGTCATATTTCTTTGCCTGGCTTGTTTGTTTTATTTTTCATTTTTTGTTTTTGTTCTTGATTTTTGTGTGTGTTTATTTGTTTGTTTTCATGGACATTCTTGGAGAAATTTCTAAAATAAACTGTTTGATGTATCACACACAAACGTTTCAATCATTGAAACCTCTTTGGTCAGCAGGCAGACACTTTTGTGTACATGTGAAAGTCAACACTGTTTTAAGAGAACCTTAGAATAAAAACAAAGCTTGTTGGTGGTTGGCGGGCGCTGCGGTGAGGTTTGCTCCTTCTTTCCTGTCAAACATCTATTGTCCTTATGTCTCCTTCTTTTTTGTGTTTGTTACTCTCTTGTAACATCTGTAGTCTTCGATGACCTAATGGTGTTGCAAGTGCCGTAAAACCCTTACTAAAACAACACACCCCACACATGTCATGTAGGTGCTTATAAAGGCAAGTGTCTTGAGATCCTCAAGACCAGTTGCATTAAATAGCATAATGTCCCCTTGTGATAAGACCGGCCAACCCCAGAAGAAGTAAATTGTACAGGAGAAACAAGAAAAACTATTTCATTTCATCATGCAGCAGAGTTGTGTGGCAATATTTCTAAAGTAACTTTTTAGGAGCATTTCTATTCCAAATTCAGATCTGTCTTTGACTGAGCATATGAAATTGATAATCTACTATTTGATTCATCAAATTTAAAAAAAATGATTAATGGATAAGGCATTCTTGTCACAAGTGTGACGATAATGTTACCTACTCTTCTCACCAAATCTGATCTAAAACACTATAACTGTAAACTGTCTTAATTTGAGCTGTGAACAGTTTGTTTTCCTGTAGTTGGATGTTATGAGTGCAGTAAGTTTTCAGTATTCAGAATTATCATCTTTTATTACGCTTCTTAACCCTTTCAGTGTGGCGTCAGTGGTATAGTGGTTAGGATATCAAACTCATAATATTGAGATTGTGGGTTAACTTCAAGGGTTTGAAGCTCATCTCTATCTGACCTTGTGTTCCTGGGAAAGACACTTTACTTGAATATTCTCTTTGGACCTGGTCCCATCAGAGATGGAAGTTAAAGCCGGAGGTCCCACCTTTAAATAACCTTACAGTGTTGCTAGGGGCATTTAACCTACTTTAAAACAATTTCAGTTTTGCAAATCCCTTCCCATGCCATATTGACATACTTTGTAAGTCAATGAATTGTACAAGTTTCTACATCTTGATGTGCCAGGGAAAGCAAAATGCGTCATATCAAAATGTCTCAAAAGAGTTTTGTGTTTGGTGTATTTTGTGAAAAGTGAAAGGCCCTTCTGCTCATCATCATGGCTGTAACAGGAACTAAAAGTGAAAAGAAAACAGGAACAATCTTAGAGGCTTCTGCTCTTTGATCTAGAACTCTGTACTGAAGAATGACCTACCACTAGCAACTGCAGCTCAAACAGGGGAGCTCGGGGGAAAAAGAAAACACCAAAACTTTTTAGTGGCAAGTATGACTCAAAAACTTATTGGATAGTAGTTACATAATTAATTACATATAAAAAACTTGTCTTAACCTGCCTCATGACAAATGTGAGGTGTGCGGACAAAACGAGTTACATCTCGCAATCCACAAACAGGGACATTGGCTAAAGATCGACACTAGGGTCATATTTGTAGAACTTCTATTGTAGAACTTCTATTGATGACATATTCTTTAACTATAACATGTCTTTTATTATTTCATACTTATACATTGTAAACATTTCACCTATAAGCGTGGTGTATCTACGACGTATTTCCATAAGGCTTGAATCCGAGAAGTAACTCATTTTGTCAGCACACCTCACAAATATGTAACAGAGCCAAAAGTTCTGGCTTAGCACTGTTTAACACTTTTCACCCACACACGCGGAGCGCGCAACACTCATCCCCATGAACCAGAATACAGGTGCGGTACAGGCTATATCACACTGTCGCTTCTTACCATCGCCGATCGGCGTCCCGTGGGGGCATAGTGTCAAACTGACAACTGTTCACATAGATGCAGCAAAGAACAGAAAGATGTCAGATTAGGAGAAAGTTGACTGGAAATGATTGCAAATTTGTTTTGTGCTTCCTTCAACACAATGTTGCTAATTTAAAAGGTGGAATGCTTCAACCCTCCCAGTCGGGGTCAATCAAGTTGAGTGGGATACAGCATCTCATCACACAGACGAAGATACTTGATAAAATACACTCTGACAGATGGGAATTGAACTCCTGTCTTTTGCTTTTAAGGCACAAAGCCTGTCAATACATCACAGATGTCAGTTATAAGGGTTGTAACAGCACCATTTAAATAAGGACCAAAGAAACAAAAGCAATAGTGTTCACAAACCATTTGTATTTCTAGCATTCAAGTTCAAAGAAACACCCTTAATAAAAGAAAAGATACAAAAGCAATCTTAAGTTCATGTTCAACAAAAACATTTCATCAGAAAAAAAAAACAGTGCTTGAATTTTCCCGAAAACATGAATGATAATTTTAATGTTGAGGTAAAATAAACAATTATTTTCCAAGTTGACTAAAAGTTTTAATCTGTCTATGGATAAAACATGGAAATAGACCTGAGTGGACTTTTATTAAAAAGTCATACTTGACGTTCAGTCACATATCACATAACTGTACATATCTCTACAAAACCCTGTGATTCACAGATGACAAAACCAAAAGCAAAACTGAATAAATGAGTTGACTGATAAAATTCTGTGTATGTGTGCAAACAAAAGTATATGTAGTATAAGTATAATACTTTAAACAGTATTCTATGGTATACCAGTATCAACTGTACATTATCTGGTTTCATTTAGAAAAGTACATGAATGATACTTCTGCATATGTGTCTCAACTGAATCCGGCGCTCATCAATTTTTGGGCATATGAAGTTAATTTTAAGGGTAGCATCTCAAAGAAAGCTTGTTTGCTTGTCTTGTTTTTGGTGAAAAAAATACTCATCCATTCACCCATCTTTAAAAGAAGTCGGGATATTTGTGATTGAAGGAGGTGGGGGTCACCTGATGTCATAGATAGGTTTGGTGGCCTCTAAATCTTGAATGTTCGTGGAAACTGCAAATTTACATCTTTTGTGTCTTTCATGAACTTTTTAAAAATTGAAATCCTTACAGAAATTATTTTTAAATAACAAGATGTTGAGCTAAAAAAAAACAACAACATAAAATTGCACAAAGAGGTGGACAAATTTTGGTTTCCTCAATTTAATTAATTTGATGAGTGCCCCATTCCACCACTGTGCAACGCTTATTAGTTTTTAAAGATGGAAAGGAATTACTGTGTAATATAATACAATAAAAATATAAGACAGACAGGAATACATCTTGATGTCTTTTAATTTTCAACTGTATAGAAAAGAGTGTGGAGAAAAGAAAAGCTTCAGTGGACCAAAATGCACATTATTCAAAGTAAATGGCATGGTATAGTCAAACTAAAAGTTAAATAAGAAATAGAATATGATTAAGGCTGATGATATAAACTAATATACATCAACTTGGCAAGGAAACACTTACCAATATCTCACACCGGCTCTAAACGACTTGAGCCAACAGTACGAAAAGAGTAGATAAACCTTTGTTTCGGCATGTAGAGAAAGATGGGAACCTGGTACTTGTCACAGTCACATGCAAGAACTTGGCAGAGAAGTGTCACGACTATCCTTTACAAAGCAATGGGAAATGAGCTTGGCTAAAATGTAATACAAGGTCCAAATCCAAGTGGAATCCAAATTTTTCTTGTCCCCCCCCCCCCCCCCCCCCCCCCGGAGTATTTTTTTTCTTTAAAGCCGCCTGGTGTTCTTAAAATCCACTTCCATCTTTGAAACCATCTGTGCTGTGTCTCGTAAGAAGTCAACCCCCCCCCCCAAAAAAAAGAAACACAAAAAAAAAAAGCAAAAGAAAAAATAGACATATCCAGAGCTTTGAAATGAATGGGATGAGCCCCAGCTCTGTATACTAAAGAAAGCTACTATTACTACTAAGAATACATGAAATCAGTTCTTTTACAATTACTAAAATTGTGAATAAACAAATGGCACAAATAGCGAACCTCTGCAATATTATTATACAGGCAACAATAACACAAATAAATATAATTGCACAGTTTACACAAGCCCAAATTGATAGATTTATACTTGAAATTTTTCGAAGTGTCAGTATTCAAGTACACCCTGCTTTGTCTTCACAGCATTCACAAGTCAAAACTCTTGATCAGGAGGGATTCTATAATGATAAATGCAGACTGGCTTGGTGAAATGAAGATATGATTTACTATATATTAACATTTATTAATGAATGCTTGCTGGCCAATGAATAACATTTAGTGTACATTAGCACTTTGTTTCCTAAGGGCAACCCCCCTCCCCCCCCACCCCATACATTACTAAGAGTGTAGAGGAGGGAGAAAAATGTTTACTTTCTCAACTCATTGCTGTGGATGCTTTCCTAAACCCTGACAAAGCCATATAAAAATTTTCACAATATAATACACTGTTGTGCAAAATGAGAAGTCAATCTTTTGACTGGCTTCATGAGCACTCTCCATGAAACATACAAAAATTTTATGTGCAAATTCAGACCAAATGCATGCAAAAAAATTTACCGAATTGAAATTGGACAGAAAAAAATCTGTAGTGATCTTCTTTATCCTTCCAAATATAATAAAATATCTGCATGACATATCTGCCTGCGTTTCCTTACCATGCAAAATCTCTCCCAACAACCTACAAGATTAATAAGCGAAATTTCTTCTGTTGCCAGATAAATTTTACGCTATAAACAGACTGCATACGAAATAAAACAAACATGAAGTAATATTTTCACAGCCCTGGAAAGACTCCGACAAATTGTAAATTAATTCTTACCCGAGTTCCAAAATGTGGTACATAAACCTCTATATGAATATTTAAATAAACTTTTTGCCATTAAATTTCTTTACATCAACAGTCAAGATATGTTGCAAAAATTTTACAAAAATCTGTTACATTCACAACACTTTTGCAAAAGCCAATTCATCAGACAAAGTTAACAAACTGCACTTCCTCTAGTTCTGATTTTGCATGGGACATGAAATAGCGCATCTTCGATGAAGGCTAAAATCAAACTAGTAGTAAAACCCTTACAACACGCTGATGGCAAATCAGTGGATTGGACATCCATTAATATCATGAAAAGAAGTTTCCTTTCTTAAAATGTAACAGTAAAACCATAAAAATACATGAAAGGAAAAGAGAGCTCTCCACACAAGCTCTAAAACCTCAGAGTAGTCTGAAGCTTCCTTTTTTTTGTTTCCCACTTTACAGAGCAGCTGTGCTTATAAAAGAAACATTACTTTCTTCTTTACAGAGCAGCTGTACTTATAAAAGAAACATTACTTTCTTCTTTACAGAGCAGCTATACTTATAAAAGAAACATTACTTTCTTCTTTACAGAGCAGCTATACTTATAAAAGAAACATTACTTTCTTCTTTACAGAGCACCATCATTTAATACAACAACTCATCACACATCAAACAAAAACACTTCCACACTCATACCCATATATTCACATTCATATAATATGAATGTTACAACCAAATGAATTGTCACAAATTTGACATCATAATGTCTGTAACATAAAACTCCCCTTGCCAATTGTCGAGGTCCAACAAACAATTTTCAATACATTTGAAGGGTAAAAATGCAACTTCACAGAAAAAGTTTTTCATGCAATCATCACTCAGTCAAAAGGTATAAGTTACGATTTGAATTCTCTCTGACTATAGAGATTTTCTAAAGACTAAATATTTAGTCAAAGCAGAACCTCACCTCTGTAAACTTTAGTCATAAAAATTTGTAATTTCAGTTCCTGCAAAATTTTTACTGAACTATTTATATTGATCATTATGGTGCTATAGCATAAGGACAACATGACATTGAGTAAAAAGTCCCATTTCCGAAAAATTTGCAACGCTATAAAAAATGTATGTGAACTTGTGTAGATCTTAGAATGAGACAGAATGCAACCAAATTTGTGTTGTTTGTTTAACCCTATCCGTACGTCGTGTTTTACTATCGTATCCATACCACGTGGAGAACCTGTGCCCCCACTTTCCAAAGAGGAAATTTACTTGTTAATCCGATCCGTACGCTTTGCATAGTAGTCTGTCCAAATGATTTTTTGAGACATACTGAAAGGTTCAAAGAGATCTTCGCACTAACGGTATTCTAAAATGGGAAGAATACAACCCCGGGGGTACAAATGACCCCAAGCGTGCGGACAGGATTAAGGAAAATACTGATAATGATACAAAGCCGCTTGCCTCGCATGCCAGAGTACTTGGTTTGAGTCTCAGCTCTATGAGGATGTCCACTGGATTCTTTTGCATTTTCTTCTAAGATTATTTCCGCCCAATAATGATTGTTGGATCTAGAACCAAATCTTGCTGAATGGAGCAGGAAAAAAAATTTGGAGCTTCAGCAAAAACACTGTTTATGTTAAAGACACCTTGGCAGTTGAAACTAAGAGACAAGAAAGCCTGTCACAGATGACTAGGCTGGTAACATTTCAAAATCATCCATACCTAAAATGGGAGACCAAATGAGGGTGTGTGTGTGTGTGTGTGTGTGTGTGTGTGTGTGTGTGTGTGTGTGTGTGTGTGAGGAGAGGGGGGGAGGAAACAAAACAGAAACAAAGACTCTAAAACAACAACCCGAACTTAGTAGATCCTAGAATGAGACAGAATACGCCCAAAATTGTACTGCGTGTTTGACGAGGACTTCTGATACTTCCCCCACGCCCCGAGCGGCACAACCATCACCGTGACGTTGTCCTCCGAGCCAAAGTGCTGGGCCTGGTCCAGAAGACGGCTGCACGCTTCCTTGGGCGTCTGGCAGCTGCTGACGATGTTCACAATCTCCTGGTCACTGATGGCAAAACTGAGACCGTCGGAGCTCAATACAAGAAAAGCGTCTTTACCATGCTTGATCTGAGAGAATTGAAAGACAGGATTATATTAAATAACTATTATTTTCAGACATAGATGTGGGAAATGAGAATCGAATCAATCTCATAGAGGTTTAAGGGTTAAAGTGAGTCAAGAGAAAATTTAATTCTTCCATAACGAAATTTTACTGACTTCAACAAAATATTTCTGGTACTAAAATGAGTACCACTACAAATATCTTCAGAGAAGGTAATAAAATTAATTAAATGATAAAACTGTGAAAGTATGAAAAAAAGAAAAGAAATTCCTGATAGAAACATAGCTGAAATTCAAAAAAAAAAAGAAAAAAGAAAACTGGCAAGCTATAAATCACACAAAAACAGCACTTGGCCTCTGAAACAACTGTATGAATTATTAAACAGCTATAAATAATTCCAAACAGCCGAACATCTGTTGCTACCACATACATGTGCTTTCGCTATTTAAAAGGCGCATAATATTGAAATTATTTTAGTATAACAGAAAATGGGTTCAGGATAGACGTTTTCAATTCCTTCATTTCATGGTCATCCCATCCTTAACACTTTTCCTACTGCGAGCAGCAAAATGCGGCTCGCGGACATAGCCTCGCTGGACAAAGAGCCACAAAATACGGCTCGAATGGTTCCTAATCAATTCCAATCCAGTAACGAAAAGACACCAAATTCTCGGCCAATCCATGTTCTTAAAATAATAGAATAGACTTCCTGTCAGCAGATATGAATGAAAATACAGCATCGCCAGACGATTTTGAGTAATTTCAGCACTTTTTTCCGTCCCCTCCGAAACGTAAAAGTGAAAAGAAAAGTGCTCCCCTGACTTCAGTATATGTCTCAAATATTCACTTCTATAATAGGTACACATACATGACTTTCAGCATTTCTTTGCATTACTTGATTGAGGGAACCTACCTGGCAAGTTTGAATGATGCTGCTGTTGTACTTTTTAAATGATGACCTTTCAAAGCTGGAAAATTGTTGATTTCATATTACACCTTTGATGTTGCAAAATCACTTTTAGAATCCCCAAACTAATATAATTGGAATTAATCTTCAATATTGTACTACAGTCTGATAGATTATTTTTTAACCTTCAGTTTGATGGGCCATATGATATGGATTGTGTTGTTTAGCTGGACGTTTTGACATTTTCCTTTAGTGGGGTGGGGGTGTAAATCCAGTGGTGGATTTTGGTCTGGTAGGAAAAGAGTTAAAGCAATGGAATTTTGATAAAATGCATAACTTGCCAGGACGCAACAAAGTCGTAGCCTACAGGGGCTAAAAAATGAAATGAGAACCAAAGCTGTTACAAGTTACTTACATTTTTAAAAGACCGATGTAATTGGAGCTTAATGAGACGTTACGAAGAAGGGCTCTCACTGTGGGGGTTCAAGAGGTGTTTTTTTCTCCAGTAGACAAAACCTTTGGCTGACAGAGTGGAACCCCAAAAAATTCCCAAACAGAAGATAACAACACAGAAAAAGCCCCCCCCCCCCCCCCCCAAGCTGGAGAAACTGCAGCCTATGAGTGGCACCCCAGAAACTAAGTAGATTCCCTCCCTCCTCCAAGCATATATAAAATTTGGGTGGTTCCTTACCTCAATGGACTTCAAGTACGGATGTGCAGTGACGCCAAAAGATTTCAGTTCCACGTCACCAACACTTCTTGTCATCGCAAGCCGACCATTGACGTGAGCTACTCCGTGACTGTTATGGATAATCCTTCCACCTTGCATTAAAAAAATGACAAGTCTTAGTAACACAACCAAACAGGTTGCTGGTAGATCAGTAGATCAGTATTTATCACTAAAGAGTAAAGCAAAAGCCTGAAATTCTTGAGGGCAGGAGTATGACCTTAGTCAAATGGAAACAATACCTTTGACTTTTGAAACATTAACAGTTTTGATATTTTAAAAAGACATGGATGCTTTTTATCATTATATTATGAGAAATGGTAACTCTTGCAATTTATTTCACGCTTGTGAAAGTTTGAACAAACAAAGGTAAAAGATACAAAATCCATTAGAAAATTTTTTTTTTTACTGGTTTAAAAATGGTACCTCCTGAAGATCATATAATGTTAGAGAGTACAAACTTTCATATTTGGAATGCGTTTTAAAGCCGATAACTATGTTTTTGTAAAGGCGTATTAATATTTGTTCATTTGATGGAGAACTGACGGACTAAGAACATCAAAATAGTGGCAACGATGTAGAAATTGATGTTAGCAATGGTGACACTACCAGGGTGCCAAGCATTATAAATATACATTAATGAGAGATTGTTACAGTATTTTGAACAAACTTGTATACTTCAACTGATCAAAAAAGTTGGAACGTACATTCTGAAACAGGCTACTATTGTAACAAAGATGGGACCTGTTTACAAATGGTTGCCTTTTTAACAACAGACTTCTGCGAGGAGAAAAAAAGGGAACGACCAAAGATCTCACCTTTCCCAATGATTCGGTGTGATTCATCACTGTTTTCTGGGTCATGATCGACGGACAGCCGGAGTGGATCGCCCTCGCGGCACAGGATGCAGACACTGTCGCCCACGTGGCCAATCACCAGCTCTGTAGAGTTCCGCAGAAGGCAAACGGTGGCTGTTGTTCCTGTCTTAAAGTTGTCATCGTCTGTGAGGGCAAACAAAAGGCAATCATAAATGTGAGGGGAAGGAAATCTATGTGTTATATATATATATATATATATATATATATATATATATTAGTTTGGTGATGTAGACCGTTGCGTCACTTTTTAGGAGAAACTGCATGCTCTTCAGATCTCAAAATTTAACCGAATGTAGCATTCAGTGCAAAGAAAATGACAGCCATTTTTTAATGACTTTGAACTTATAAAATAGTAGGTTTCAATTGCTATCTGTCTTTGTAAAATACTCCAGAATGGAGCAATAAGTTTCCAATTCCATTAAAAAAAATCTGCTGTGTTAAGTTAATGTAAAAGTTTTACGGCACTTGCAACACAATAAGGTCATACAAGTGCCAAAGATTAGAGGGGTTACAAGAGAGTAAGAAACATAAAAAAGAAGGAGGAGAGATCAGGACGATAGATGTTTGATAGGAAAGAAGGAGCAAACCACACCAGAGCACCTGCCAACTACCCACTTGTTCTGTGTAGGTTTACAACTACATAGATAAAAGCAAGTGGATATCTCCAATGCATACCTGACATATTGCTGCTTTGTATCGCTATAAAATACAAGACACTTTTTTTCAGAGAAATTTACATGTCCAAAGTATGTGTGCTTAGACTTTAACTCTTTATCTCAGAGTGGGGTAAACCCACTACACCGGGGCTCTTTTTTGGTGCTTAATCTAAAAATGACAAAAACGTCATAAAATGGGTCATTGAATTGAAACTAGCAAACCTATTTTGATAGCTCTTCATCCAATGAATGAACTTCCGGTAAAAGAGACAGATAGCCGAAAAGTAATTTGATGTCGAAGTCGCCGTAAAGGAATGTGCCGGAGACACTGTCAGGTGAGCGGCTTGCCGGAGATAAAGAGTTAAAAACAACATCTCGGTCTATTCTCATGTGATCGAGTCTCTTGCAAATTCAAAAGCTTATTGTAAACAACACACTTTAAAAGGAATGAATAGAATGGCGAAGACTGAAGACTGTGATTGGGGAGGGGGTGGGGGAAGCTTGGAGACAACATAAGCCTCTGAAACAGTTTGAAAAGCTATTAACAAAGTCCCATAAAGACTGTGATTGGGGAGGGGGTGGGGGAAGCTTGGAGACAACATAAGCCTCTGAAACAGTTTGAAAAGCTATTAACAAAGTCCCATAGAAAAACCACACTGATTCAGTTGACTGGTTATAAAGGAGAAAAGAAGAGGACTGCAGCATTACAATGTCATGTGCCTTAGAGTCATTTCTCTTCAAGAATACATCCAAAGCAAATTTTTCTTCGTAAGAGCTTTAGCTGCACTTTGCGTGACAACATTACTGTTTGTTTTAGTGGGATATAAAAAAAAAAAAAGGATGCAAACATGGTGGACAAGGCAAAGAAAATACCATTACAATTTGAACAAGAAAATCAGGTCAAAAACATATATTTAACAAACTAAAATGTGCAAAAAAGCACACTCAATCATAGCAACCTGAAAATCCTTTATCTGCAGGTATGAAATAAAAAAGACAAAGAGGTGGGGGTGAGGGTGGTGAAGGAATGTAAACTGGATGTATAGTAAAAAATGAAAAGACTTTAAAACACTATAAGCAAAACAACATGCTGATGCCTTGTGTACTAATGAGACAAACGTCTTTAAAAAAGCAAAAGAAAAAAGTCAGACCTTGGAATTCCATATATTTTTAGACAAATGGTATCCTAAGGAAAAAAGACAAGGTAGATGAACCCATCAATTCTCTGTAAAACTTTCCATTGGGAAAGTTTATAACAACAGTACTTTTATATATATATCAAACATGAACAGTATGATCCTTGAGAAATGAAGAAACAAAAGGACTACCAAAGTATGAAACATACACTCCGATGCATTGCAACTACTGGTAAACTACTACAAGAACAACAAGCCATATTATAGCATTTCCTGTCACAGTTTAGCTTAGTCATACTTTGCAATGGGTCAGCACAAACACGGCCATAATTCTCCAGGAACAGATCTACATGACAGAGACAATGAAAAGAAGGAGAACGAGTAGACCAAACCAAATTGCCTTCCAACCAGCTTTACACAGCACTGACAAAACAGCTTCAGTTCTTACCGATGTGATAAAAGACCAGATGGCGAGCTAGCAAGTTGTGGACATCACAGAATGCATTCTTTAACACTGTTTTCAGATCTTTCGTTTGAGTCATCCAAAAGCCCATGTGGTCTATGAGATGGGTGGACACATACTCTGCAGCAAAGTCCCCTCCATGACCGTCAAACACTCCAAAATACAACAGCTCTGGTAAGAGTTCCTCTGAGGAATAGCATGGCAGTCAATGATTTCAAAGACTTATCGGTACACTCTGTCGAATATTAAGGTATGGAATGGATGAAACACCATCCAGGATTCCCTAAAGTTTTTTGTTCAGGGGTAGGACCTCTAAGATGGCTGAACAAAGTAAGTAGCAAGGAATGAAAACTTCTCAAGCAATAGATATAAATTATATCAAATGTCAATTTGCAGGTTCAAACGACGTCTGTCAGAATCAAAGGTAGCAAGATAGCAACATGGTCATAGTGCTGCTTAAAACTTAACGGAGAAACCAAGTCAACAATGCTACCACTTCCTTCATCATACAGAAATTAATGAGTATCGTACTACAGGAGGTTCCTTCTATGTTAAATATAGATATTGCCACACCAGCAATATTCCTAGGTACAAAAATGGCTTTACAAGCACGCATCTTCAATCTATAATCTGAATTGACAACTCAGGCTTATAGCACAAAAAGTCTACAAATGTTCATCTTTTTAACTCACTTGAGCCTATTCCCGTGTATTTATGGAACGACCCACGGCTCCGGTGGCCTAATCCCGCGTGTTTACAGGATGCGCTTTATCGATCGACATCTCCTGTGTTTTTCTGTTACGAGCTACGGGAAGCAGAGAGCCAAAAGTTGACCAACTTGTTTCGATTCGTAAAAAATTTAGTGAAGTTATGTGAGATACTTTTTTAGCTGTAATGGACAAAGTCAGTCACACCTGCATTGCCATAAATGATTTTATTATGAATTAGGTGCAAAAAAAATTGCGTAACCTTCAGACACTGCCATTTCCAAATATTGATAAAATAAAAGCTATTCCGACAATTTAGATGCAGTTTTCTTTTTCTGAGAGAGCATTTCTTTCTTTCTCTTGTTGCATTAAAAAAATTATGATAGCCTTCAGTCTTTCTGTGGCTAACGCTTCAATATACCCCAAAAGAGTCAGGCAGCAATGGTTGTTAGGGGAAAAATATCTCAGGCTCAAGTGAGCTAAATATAAAGTAAGATGATGATCTACTTTAAACTTGAGGTAAAGGACAGTGGCAAATTTTTTAAATTGAAAAATAGGCACCTATTACAAAACGGTCCTCATTGTCTTTCCTTCGGCCAATGACAGAGGCCAAAGCCACCTCATCAATGGGAACCTTGGGGATGATCTTGCCTTTCTTGATGCTCTGATCGTACAGAATGGGTAGAACCATCCGATTATTCCAGACACCCAACGTGTCAAAGTTCACACCACGTGTTGTCTTTCCCTTGTTTTCTGTGAAAGACAAAGATGAACTTATTCAACCTACAGGAAAAACCTTGCCTTGAAAGTAAAAGAAAGGAAAACTTCTTTTTACAAACACTCCATTTCCCTCTTTTAGACACAAAGAACACTCAAAATGAAATTGCTTTCCGTGGTACTTTTGTGCTAGGTGAGAATGTAGATAAAAAAGCCAACAAAGCATGTTGGCTTGGTCTTATTAAGTTTTTTTGTTCTTTTTATTTTTCTCATTTGTTAACTTATTTTACTGGTTAAAACTCCCTCAAGTAAAGATTTGAGTGCACATTGAATCATTGTATCAGTTTGGCTCAAGCATTAGAAGAAAGCTAAGAAACTACTGGTATTTTATCCCATCCATATTTCATCATCCTCTTATGCTTACAGTTTTTCTCATGACAACACTACAAAGAGTACATTTCACTTCTCTCAGCTTCCCATTTCTTTTTCCATCCCAAATACTGCATTATTATGCATAAAAGTACAACCTGAGCAAAACATGATTAAATTGTACATGGTAAATCTTAACTGACTTTTTTCAGGAAAAAAATGAAAATGAAAAGCAAATTTCACCTGGGTCCGAAATATAGTTGGCTGCATTTTGGGATGAAGAGAAGATACTCCGAAATGCCTTCTCACATCTCAGACACATATGCTGGTTCACTCTTTCTGGTTTATCACCAAACAAAACTGATTTTCTCAACGCTTTGGCAAACAAGGCACAGTTTTCTGGCACTTTTCTGGTGACATTGCGATGAATAGCAAACATTCAGGCAGTGGTTTGTCTGCAAAGTATTAAAAAGAAAAGTTAGTTGACCGCAGAATACAACAGTTTATGACAAAAAGAGACAGCCAATGCTGATACTCAATTTCAAAGTTGTGACATACCTTGGAAATATTGTATTTTATAAGAGCATTTTAAAAAGACACGCAAAGTCATTTCAGATGTACAGGGCTTCAGTTCCTTTTAGTAATTTGTCAAAGAATCAGGCAGCCAGAGACTATCTGAACTTTTAAATTTGATTGGGGTGGAACAATTATGCAGATTGACTACGTAAATCAAGATATTACTGTGAAGGGAAAATATAAAGAATCTTCAATCTATTAGAAAAAATCAAATAACTCTTTAAATATAACAGGACATTAATATAATATTTTATGCCAAATTTTAATTGACAGAAACAAATATGTGACACACTAGCTAACTTGCTGTGTTGTTGGTAACACTAACAGTGGCAAAAAAGGACAATTGCAAAGAGGTTTTTACATCAAAATATATTCTCCACTTAACTCGAAACATTCTGTGATACCTTACAGACCCAGACCAGATAGACCACAGGTCAATACTACCCAAGGAGGCAGACAGATACTGCTCTGGCATCTTCAAGATCGCTTTCTCACAACGACCAGCCCAGCTCTGCACATCAATTTGAAAGACCATGGAAGAGTTTTATCAGCAAAAGAAGGATACAACGGCATTAAAACACATTCAGACATCGAGCAAGGCTGCCCTGTAATGACCAACGTCTGCCATGTTTCCAAGAATTACACTTGAACTGACTGGGCAAATTGTCATATTCGTCTTGGACGGAGTTCTCTTCTCAGGGAGTTTGGAGACACAGAAGAGAGATACTACCTGACTGCTGCATGCATGATACAAACAGATGAGGCAGTTGTAGTGTGATGGTGTGGGTTGAATTCTTCCAACCACAGAACCTAGCCCCATATTTTCAATGCTACTGTTGATGCCAGCTAGTACCAGAATGTTCTCAGGACGAACTTGGTTCCTTTCTTTCAAACCCATTGACGTATGCACACATTCCAGTAAGACAATGCGCGCCCACACATTGCCCGTTTAAAAGATGCAATATCTACAGCAGCAAAATCTCAATGTTTTGCCATTGCCAGCCTACTAGCCACATGTGACATATATATGTCACATTGTGGGTCTCAGGTTTCCGCCTCATGTCATACGGTCATACCTCACGCCTAAACACTTGAGTGGAAAAATGAACGTACGCAATCTTTTGCAATGGGTCATAGACCTCCGCTCACGCCTCACACTTCACAGGTCACGGTGCACACGTTAGCCTAGAAGTGAACATGTTCACTTTTTCCGAGACGTGAGTCGGGGCAGACTGGATATTCAGAGAGTTTCGCCCTTCCCCCGTAGAGCTGGACGCAGGCCAGAATCCATTGTCAACAGTGTGCAATTTTAAATTTCTTGTGAGGATGGATGATTACAAAGAAAGATTAATTGAGTTAGTCTGAACTCCTTTGCTCTGGGACCCACGTGATCCTGACTACAAAGACAATGATCAAAGGGCACAGGTTTGGGAAAACCTTTCCAAGATGCTGACTATTAAAGAAATCTTCATCAGGATTGTCTACGGGATGCTGGAATGTCTGGTGAAATTCTCCTCTTGGTTCTCTGAGCAAAAAGTGCTCGCGGCACCATATTATGCTCTGTCTCTTCCGCTTCCTTTTTCTGAGAACAACAGAATCAGCAAATCTTCGTCAGGTGATACCATCTTGAATGCACCACAAAGACAGGTGTGTGTGTGAGGTGTAAAGCACAAGCCTGGCCCAGTGCCCCGTGAGGCATGAGGCGTGAGTTTTTAAGGCCCGGAAGCCTTTACTAAAAGTGAACTCCTAAAACAACATGTAGAATGACTGGAACAAGCATTGATGAACAAGAGTGGAATGGACTGCCACAACAGTCAATAAAAAAAAAGACAAAAAACCAGACTCGATCACTGCGCAAAACATGCCAAGCTCGCATCATTGCAAGAGGCGACAATACGCACTAGATCTACTTAGGACTTAGGTCTAGATCTACATGAAATTTTAAAAGCAAGGGGTAGGGCCTACTAGATTGTGCTGAACACTGTGCTACCATATTGATCTTATACAGGGTGTCCACTACGGCTGGATCGGGCCAATCGCCCGACTCGGTTGCGTGAAACTGAAAACAGAAGACGTTTGTTTTTGAGGCGATCGAGTCGGGCAATCGACCCGATCCCATCCGTAGTGGGCACCCTGTATAAGATGAGAAATGATCAAGAAACAAAAGAGGGGTGATCTTGCAGTTCCGTTAGTTAAAGAGTCCATGATCCATTTGTTTACATCCACCCAGAGAATCCTAAGAAATCCAGAAGTCTTGATGACCAAATTAGCAAATAGGCAACACTAAGACTAAGACTAAGAACAGGGATGTAACCTGACGCAAAACATCAAATTATGGTAAAATTCAGGGGCATGCTCCGTAGTTTTTTTTTGGTCGGGGGGGAAGCCCCCAACCCCCCTGCTCTTGACTACTTACTACTTTAACGAACGAAACTACAAAATCACCACAAAAGGTTTACACTTCTCTTTTAGATCTAGATATTATGACAATTGGAAATCCAGATAATGCACAAATTAGATGAAAACTTACTACGGCAAAGCTGCAACGACGTAAGACAAAAAATGACAATAATACTTCCTACTTTTGCTTACACAGCTTTTGTTTGTTATGGCCTTAGCCAGAAAATGAAAGCACAACTGTTTTACCTTGACCTTGCACATAACCGGAAAAAGCTGATGGCTATAAACGTAGAGTGCCGCAAAAACAAAATAGAAGTCTGTGTATTAGACCCTTTTTGATTTCTTTCAAACCCTAAAAATACAGATACATAAACAAGCCTAGTAATAAAAATAATAATCTTATGTTTTCAAAATGTTACCGACCCCGCCCCCCCTGCTCCTTAAAAAAAATAGATCTACAATGTTATTGTTCAATTCTATAATTTAAATTTCCACGAGTGATAAACTAAACTACGAAAAGTTTTTCCTGTGATCAGTTACTTCCCTTGTTGCTAGGTATTATCGCCATTGTTGATTAAAGGCAAAATGGTGGACGTCAAGAAAAAACAAGTAGGATTTTTAATGTTTATTGATTTACCACACCACACCAATGTTTCTGATTGTTTTTGAAGTTTTTTAAATGAGCAGTTTTTGTTGTCATTACTGATGGTTCCAAGTTGTACTGCCTATTGGTGCCTAAACTGTTTTTGCACCTCGAATACTTGCCTTCTCCGTGCGAAGCGACTGAATACGTTTTTTTAAATTTGTGAATCCTCCAGGAAAGCATTTTATCCATGACACAGCTACAGACTGAAAGTAGGCAATTAGAATGCACCTCTAATATGCAACAGCAACTAAAAGATTGTGAAATTGACTTTCACATTATGTCTTTTGCTTTAAAATGTAAAACTTTGCTAGGCTTTTCTTTGACAGTCGATATAGAATCTAGATCTACTTGATTTTCTTTGTTTGTGTTCAATGTTCTCTTTTATTTGTATTTGCATTATTGACTTATTAAAATATTAGCCTATATTTCTTTGCTTGTCCGTTCTAAATAGATATTTAATTCAGTGATAATTAATGAGAAATATAACATTTGTTGATAGATTAGTAACTGTTCTATGAGATATGTTTCTGTCTCAGAATAACTCATCTTAAACCATTACATCAAATCAAATTGTGAGGCAGCGTGGTGGAATCAGGCTCTCGTCAAAATAATCAAAGTGAAGAAACTTGCATTTTTCCGAGGGTTTATGAATTTTAATCAATTTTTTGTTTTTTGGCTCAACACCTTTCATGCCCATTAAAGAACTCATTTCTGTGTGGATTTTTCAGAAAAACGTTGATAAAAGTCTCAAAAAAGTAAATTTTCAGTTAACATGGACTCTTAAGCTAAGGAAATAACAAATCTTTGGCAGCCATTTTCTCACTAATTTTCCGTCTGAAAACAGGTGACCCACCTCCTTCTTTCACAAATATCTCGACTTGTATTCAAGATAAATGTATATTTTTTTTCCATCCAAATAAAGACAAGTGAATACGCTTTAAGATGATACCAATAACTCTACATACCCAAAACTTGACGAGAGCCTGATTCCACCACGCTGCCTCACAATTATTTCCCCACCTGGGCAGTCTACTGACTGAAGTGTCTTTATGCCATTAGCAAAGTGGGGATATTAATATGTTCTTATGCTCAGTAGAATTGTAAATGGGCTGATTTATGACATCATGCTCATACTGTTCCGGAACAACATTGGGGGAACTGCTGTTTTTTTTCCCTCATCCTTACTATTGTCATTTTCCCTCTACTTCTTTTGCATGTTTGTCACTCTCTTGTGAACTGCTATTTCCGGGGTGCCTTGATAGTCGAAGCAGACTTTGTACTGTTGAGGCAAGAGCGAGGTGAGCAGAGTAAGCCAGACTGATTACCCCGTTTGGACCTCTGTTGACATCCACCCGTTGGCGTTCATATAACCTTATGCAGTTGTGAGCGCCGTAAAACCTTACTAAAACAAAACAAAATACCAAATTATGTTGGATGAAGTCTATGAATCATTAATTCAGTTGGTCTTTTGAACAGCATGAATTAATGCCCTCTTATAATTGTAATCAACAAATTATTTTCTTTTTGATGACATTTATGGTTTAGCATGAAGTGCTCTATTTTGTTTGACCAATATCTGCTTACCACAAAAATGCTGCTGTGTTCCCTGTCTTGAATAGTTCATTTTCAATTGTGTATTTACATAACTAAATGAAGCTTAAACTGCTTTTGTGCCTTAAGAGCTTAAACTGAACTGACACCATTGTCTTAACATACAAGCCAAACTTACATCTTTTAGGTGCCTTAAATTGTTCCTAAACACCAAAGACATCTTTTGTAGGACTATAAAAGAGAACACATATTTACGTGTGTTGCAAGCTGTTAACCAACATATAAGACTAAAGAGAGATTGACCAAAACAAAAGTAACAATATATGACTCTCCTCTCTGAAGACAAAACAATGCACAGAAAAGACAAGACACCTGGTTTATGCACAAACAATAGCTAATGGATTTTTAAAAACTGTTTTTCAAAGGACTGTTACCGATAATGTTGAACATTTTTTTCCTTGAGCAGGATTCATAGACGTTCTGCAGAAACAGAAACGTGACCAAAATGCCTACTGGAGAGATAGCACCGCAGCAGGCAATGCAAGTTGTCTCTGGTGATGCTGTCAAAGGCGAGATTGCAACCCCCCCTAGCATGTCACCCGTAAATCCAGCCTATGCCGATAAGACAAACTATTTCGGCATTGAAGTCCTTGACAAACTGATATGGAAAGGATGGGATCAAGGAAAAGAGTACACCAAGAACTTGGTACTGAAGAACCTTGGAGTGAAAACATTAAAACTGAAATACAAGTAAGTTCTTGTCTGACATATATACTTTAAAAGAAGTTGTTCTTGCTTAAAAACTCCTCAAGAGGCAGTATGAAGATTTCCTAACAATTTCCAATTTCTTAAACAATTTAATGCTGTGTCAGCTGATAGGAGAAAGACTAGAAAAGTGAACTTTACATTCTTGTGTTTGATCTAACTTAAACATTGTTATTTTTCAGAGTTCCTGAGAGCCGTTTCTTTTCAACAACCTATCCCAAGCCAATTTTTCTCAGTGCTGGCTCCAGTTTCACTTTGCCAATCACTTTCAGACCACTGGAAAAAATTCCATATGACGATAGAGTTGCCTTTTCTTTGAAGGTGAGTGAATGATTTACTTTAGATGCACTATTTATTCTTTGGCAGAAACTACATTTTATTCTTGAAAATAAAGTGTCTCGGAACATTATGCACCGTTGTTTTTGACTGTTTAAATTGTTTTTTAAAAATATTACTTTTGGGTGTTTTTTTCCCCCCCAAAAAAAGAAAGAGAGATTTAAGATTATAGAATTAAAATCAGAAATTTTGTCCCTTTCTCCCAGTCTTGTCTTTTTCCCCATCTGATGATATGCAAATGATCAGGAAACTGAGGCTATCCAAATTGTGATTTGTTAAGATAAAAATCTTGCTTCCTCAGGATGGGGGAGAATTTGAGGTTCCTCTCAGAGCTGTTTTGCCTCAAACTGACATCAGCATTCCCTTTGATCTCGACTTCAAGATGTGTGCAGTGAAAGACTCTTTCCCTATTTCCTTTGATGTTTACAACACTGGGTAAGGCTTTGACAAGAACCCATTTCAAGTAGCCTATAACTAAACCTAACACACTGAAAAAAAAAAGAAATGAACCAGCAAATTACCCCCACGCTTCGGCTGTGGAGTAAATGAAGCATTCAAAATTAATCATGTATTCAGTTCTCAAGTAAAGGGGAGTCTCCACAAATGAATCCAAAATGATGCGGTCATCTTGCGTGATGGTGACAAGTTCAGCAGTGCTGTGTGTGTTTTGAACTTTAGAAAGCATAATGAGTACAAAATCTGTCAACTGCTTGGGCAGAATTTATCTCAAGAACAATAATCAAGAGGTCTTTAACGGAGTAATAGTTTCCTGAAGGGCATAGGATGTAAACACTGTTAAGCAAATTGACCTTACGAGATAAAAGTGAGATGTAGCTTACTGTACTCATAGAATGGGAGAGGAGAAGATTCATTCTGGTGTTTTTATACTTCTGTAAACACCTAAAACATGTGATAGAAATAGAGCATGAAGGCAGAACTGGAAGAAATAATAAATCGGCATGTCCATCATCTTTAACTCTAGGTCATCCTTATCAGTTCAGTTAAATGCTGGCTTTTATTTTTCCTATCTTTTTCCCTTCTCACGTCGTTATTGTTTGTGGCATGTTTGCAGAGACTTGGACACAATGGTTCAGTGGGAAGTGGTAGAGCCTTTTATTGTGGAGCCCATGGAGGCGGAGCTTAAGTATCGCAGTAGCGTCAAGTTCAGGGCCACTTTCAGGCCAGAGGTGAGTCGAAAACGTATACTCACAAGTCTGATTCTACACAAACAGTCATATTCACATGCAGACACTGGGGTATATATATCTTCACACATATGTGCACATACACATACATGCACACCCCCACGCTTACATCACACACAGACTTACACACATTCACTAATGCCTGCAAATCATTTTTCTGACATTAGAGTACTGGGTTTGGCTTTCTTCTTCTACATTTTAGTCCAAATGGATATTTTCTTTTTTTGTCTCTATTTGAAATATGTCAAACAGATTTCTTGTTTTAGGATCTACCTTCAGATTTATAAAGTGCTTCCTCTCTTTGTCTTTTTCTTGGAATCTCATAGTGTTTCTGATAATGTTTAGTGATATGTCCACTTTGCTTTCACTTGTTTCTTTCATTTTTACACTGTAAGATGACAACGGCGCTATACTGACGCTATGGGGCTGTACTGAGGCTATTTTCGCATTGAGACAGTTGTGTACGTGAGACTGCCATTGCACGTGACAAAGACCTCAATAACGTCTTCTGGATCAGGAAAAGGCGTTCGACCGCATAGATAGATGTTAACTCTGGGAAGTCTTAGAGGAATATGGTGTAAAAGGACAATTGCTGGAGAACATCATGGCACTTTATAAAAACAGTTTGTGTGCTGTAAGATCAACAAAAGGACTATCGGACTGGTTCCCCATCAGGTCGGGTGAGACAAGGGTGTGTTCTCTCTCCGCTTCTCTTCATCACTTACATGGATAAGATCATGAAAGCAGCAAATGACAACATCTCACTGAACTGAATGAGCTTCTATTTGCTTATGACCAGAGTATATTAAATACAGATGAAGAGGAATTGCAAAAACACGAGGAATGTAAACACATGAACATGGAAATCTCCATCTCAAAAACAGAAGTTATGAAGGTCACCAGAAACTCTGGAAAACTCAACATTTTTATTGATGGAACACAGCTTCAACAAGGAGAGGAATTTGAATATTTAGGAAGCATCTTCACACAAGATGGGCGTATGGATAAAGAAAAAGAAACAAGAACTATGAAGGCAAATGCTATGACCTACCAGCAAGCACCCTTGCTCAGTCACAAAAACATCCCAACCGAAGTGAAATCCCAGCTCATCAACAGCATCTTAAATTCATACCAACCTTAATATACCATACCAGTGCCAAATAGGGTCTCTAAACAAGGCACAAGAAAGAAAAATTATTGCATGCGAAATGAGATGTCTCCGCAAAACCATCAACGTCACCAGAAGAGACTGCATAAGAAACGAAACCTTACATCAAGAAACTGGAATACCACCAGTAATAAAATTCATAGAGCGTCAAAGAGTCTGATGGATTGGACATTCCAACCAGAATGCCCCAGAAACAACTAGCGGCTAGAGCTTATAACACCCGAGAATCCGGATTGAAATCAAGAGGAAGACCAAGAAAGACCAGGCTGGATGGGGTTAAAAAGGTCCGGGAACAACATAACACATCTATCACAGACACTACAAACCTAGCAAAGGACCGAAACTTGCCCCTCCCCTTGACATCCTAAGGATGCCAGAGGAAGGAAGAAGTAAAGTAAAGTAAGTAAGAAGACATCATGTTGATCAGTTTCATATTTCGCTCTCTATCGAAAAATGCTTGATAACTTGAGATGCAGATTTAATTGTTTTTGGCAAAGTGCATAGTATTTGTGCTTTATTTTTTGTCATTTTGTTTTTGCTGAATTCAATTCAAATATTTAAGTGATTATGCTTTTTCAGTCCGCTAAAGTGTATGAAGTCACCGCAGTGTGCAAGTTTGGCCCTGAGCTTAGCATGACAAGACCCACCACATTTTATGGAATTGGTGAGATTTGTGTGTGTGTGTGTGTGTCTATGTGTTTGTGTGTGTGTGTGTGTGTGTGTGTGTGCGCGTGTGTCTGTGCACACACATATGTGTGAAAGTATATAATGTGTTTGTGTGTGTGTGTGTGTGTGTGTGTGTGTGTATGTGTGTGTGTGTGTGTGTGTGTGTGTGTGTGTGTGTGTGTGTGTGTGTGTGTGTGTGTGTGTGTGTGTGTGTGTGTGTGTGTGTGTATGACTGTTGAATACACAAATGTGCTTATGTTATTATGCACATCTTGCAAAGAGTCACGGCAAGCAATTTGATAACAGAATGCTTCTGTTCTTCTGTTTGTTCTCTGTACCCTCTGCAGAGTCTAACAATCCTTTTCTAGCTTCTTTTCTCTCTTTTTGAAAATCTGTTATACCAAACTCTGTCTTCTTTTACTTCTACTTTGATCTATTGTCAGTTCTTTCAATGTCTGCTACTAAATTAGTAGTGAGTGTTTGATGACTCCTCTTGTTTTGTCCAATTCATATACTTTTTTTTTTGCGTGTGTTGCTAGCATCCTAATCTATTCTTATGAGGGTACCTTTGGTGAGTCCTACTTTTCTGATTTTCTTTTTCTGTTCCCGTCTATCAGTCTTGCCTTGTTTTAGCAAAAAATTACAACTTTTTTCTTGATATTTCTTGTGAAATATGACTGTTATAATAATAATAATAATGATAATAATAATAATAATGATTGCATTTATATAGTTCATATCCACGCTCTACTGCATGCTCTATGTGCTTCAAAAGTTTTATTACCCCAGCAGGGCCAAGAACACTTTAAAACATTTTTGGTTTCCTGGGAAGCATATATAGTGCAAGCTGACAAAATCTTGTGCAGACTGACTCTACTGTACACTTGTTGTTTCAGGCAAGTTCCCTCATCTCCTGGTGTCTCAGCCTGGTGGCAAAGCCCTGACAACCGGCAATGAGAAACTGAGTGCCCTGGAGACTGAGGTCAACTTTGGAACAGTGCCTGTGGCCTCCACTACTGGCCAGTGTGTTGATCTACACAATCTGTCACAGGTAGGTATTTTTTAAACCTTTGCATTCTTGTTTTTGAACTTTGATTTATAAAGAGATTTCAATCAGTTTGTTAACTTCTTTAGAAGGTAGCGTTTTTTGATGAATACTCATATTTAAGTATATTTTGCTGTGCATAAAGAAATTCGAATACTGTTCTTTTTCATGTTTGGCAATGTACTTTTTCTTCATTATTAACTTTTGCATTTTTGTCTAAATTGCTGCAGATGCTATACAGAGTAGTTGAAACAGTCCGTCAAAAAAAAAAAAGACTAATTACAATAAAATAATCATGTACAAATGCATTAACACAATAATACTGGCCTTTTAGATGGTCAAGTACAGTTTCAACTTCACACGAAAAGACCACTTACTTTTGTTTTTCTCTATTTTTTCAGGTTCGAACACCATTCCGAGTGGAGCGGATTGTGGGAATGAGTCGCATGGACACGGTGTTTCACTGTAGCCAAACACAAGGAATTGTGCCTCCGATGAGCCTCATGAGAATCCCAGTAAGTTGATGTTTTTGTAGAAATTTGAGAATTTCTGTTTGATGCTTATATAATTTTTTTTTAAAGAAGAAAAAGCTGAAACAGAAGGTGAAAGTGTCCGAGATAGCACGTTGTTATGGGCCTGAGGTAAATTTATAAAGCATAATATTTCGTTACATTCTGACTGCTTATTGTCAATTATTGTTTTTGTTGTATATGGGTTTATCACTTTTACTTGTTTTCCATATGCCTTTGTTTTGTAGTCGAAATACAGGTTTTCATTTAAATATTTGTAGCTGAAGTTGTTACTCAAAGTTTTAGCTGAAGCCAGACCTACACAATGATTTTTATCCATATGTTAAGAACATAACGAAAGTGTCATAATTTTGGTCATGAAGGATCACAACGTGTGTCTGGTCTGTTCCTTCACAGCTGACCTACACACCCCACGCAGTGGGAACCACGAGCATTGACTACTTCAGCATCGTCTCTGTAGGGGACATCAGCCGCAGCATCATCAAGTGTGTGGGCTCATCTCTTGGTAAGTTTCACTGCTTATAATTTTGTTGACTTATTTATATAAAGACCTTTTCACTTTTTCTTGTGCGTTTTCTCCCCTTTTCCCCTCATTAATTAGTTATATGTAGCCTTGTGACCTTTGGTATCAAGGAGATAAGATAAGATAAGATACATCTTTATTGTCCAGATCCTGGCACATTGGTTTGGTGTTTCACCAAGTACGCATACACACACACACACACACACACACACACACACACACACACACACACACACACACACACACACACACACACAAACTAGCCCTTAGTTCAGTGTAGAGCCGCGGACTTACGTAAGTTGTGATAACAAAACTGCTGGGTCGTGTTCATACACGAGAGGTATCCTTAACTTATAGGTTGAAATAAACAACAGTTTTTCCACCCACAAGATCTGCAAGTCAACTCCTTGTTCTTTTTAAATTTTATATTTATTTTGCCTTTTATGATATTTTGTGTGTGT